CCTCATTGCCTTTCCTTGTTGCAAGTCAAGCTCCACTCCTGAGGACACGGGTCAAGTTTGGGGTAAGGACTGGTCGACAGTTTTGGAGGCCACTCTTACGGAACGCGGAAAAGACATCCCTATACCATCCCCTGCTGGTCTTCAAGGTGTGGTGATGTTCCTGGAATTCATAAGTAAAGGATGTGAGGGTGAAATAAAGTAATGTGTGCACATACTTTTTTTTCTTTTAGAGACAGTGTCTCACTCTGTGTTTAGGCTAGAGTGCGGTGCCATCATAGTTCACTACAGCCTCAATCTCCTGGGCTTAAGTGATCCTCCCATCTCAGCCTCCAGAGTAGCTGGGACTACAGGGATGCCACCAAAGCCGGCTGATTATTTTATTTTATTTTATTTTGAGATGGAGTTTCACTCTGTGGCCCAGGCTGGAGTGCAATGGCGTAATCTTGACTCACTGCAACTTCTGCCTCCCAGGTTCAAGTTATTCTTCTGCTTCAGCCTGCTGAGTAGCTGGGATTACAGGCATGCACCACCATGATCAATTAACCTTTGTTTTTGTTTTTTGTTTTTGTTTTTGAGACAGAGTCTTGCTTTTTTGCCAGGCTGGAATGCAGTGGTGTGATCTGGGCTCACTGCAACCTCCACCTCCCGGGTTCAAGCTATTCTCCTGTCTCAGCCTCCTAAAAAGCTGGGACTACAGCCATGAGCCACCATGCCTAGCTAATTTTTGTATTTTTAGTAGGGATGGGGCTTCACCATGTTGGCCAGGATGGTCTCAAACTCCTGACCTCATAATCCACTCACTTTTCCCTCTCAAAGTTCTGGGATTACAGGTGTAAGCCACCACGCCGGGCTTTTTTTTTTTTTTTTTTTTTTTTTTTTTTTTTTTTTCCCCCTGTAGACACAGGGTTTCACCATGTTGGCCAGGCTGGTCTCGAGCTCCTGACCATCCACCTCGGCCTCCCAAAGTGCTGGGATTACAGGCGTGAGCCACCATGCCCAGCTAATTTTTGTATTTTTAGTAGAGATGGGATTTCACCACGTTGGCCAAATTGCTCTTTTTCTTTTCTCCCAAATTTTCATTGTGAGATGATGTCTCACTTCTGCTTTATGTGGCAACTGGAAAAAAATCTGAGTTCCTCATGCCCTAGCTTTAAATTCTGTCTTTCAGATGCAGTGCAGACTTAACACGAGTGACTGGCGATGTTGGTCAGCACCTAAATGACTGAAATGTTCTTCAACCTTCAGGTAATTTGACAAGTTTCCGATCTTCTCACAGACCCCACCCCACCTGCCACACAACACTAACTTGTTGCTATAGCTGGCCCCTGAGGGCAGAGCAGAGCCTGTATCTCCCATGCCTCCAGCACCACGCTTTATACATACATATTCTTCAGAGGTGTTGAATGAATCAAAAATATTTACATGAGCAAACCCAATTCCCATCTCATTAAGTAGGCCTACTGATCTTTTCCTGGTCTTCAGAGGAGTCCCTCAGCCTAGACAAGCGGGCAGTGGTTCCAAGGGGGTTCCCCAGAAAGGCAGTTAAGTTGTCAATGTCATACAGACTCTGAGCCAATCTAATAAGTTTAGGGCTGAATTCACGAAGTCTGGGAAATAGTTGGCTTTCTGGGGTCAGATGACCACACTCTCAGTTCTTCATCTGTGAAGACCTTGCTCATTCCTGTCCAACCACCTTGAGTCAGCTGCCATCTTCCTTTGCTGCCTCATAAGAGGGAACATGGACTCTTGGTTCAGAGTTCCCCAAACCTGGTTGGGGAAAATCACGGAGGACCAGACCTGGTTCCACTTACTGATGGGTTTGCTGTTGAGAGCAATGGACATCCTGGAGATTGCCTTGTCTGCAGGTTTAATAAGTAGACAGTAGACCTGGACAACTGACCCAACAGGCAGTCTCTTTCCCAGAAATGAAAGAGGTTCTGATTCTTCCTTACAGAAGTGGCACCGTTCCTGGAACATTGTAAACACCTGATAAAATTCACTGACTGATTATCTAAGGACCTATGACTTTCAGGCTAAAAATGGTGGTGGGTTTGCAGTCACTTGATCCTGCCTTTCTCTCAGGCATGGCCACCGAGCCTTTCACCAGGGTTTCCCCAACTCGTTGATAAAGACTCAGACTCCACAGCATCTCTTTGTCACCCACAGGACCTAACAGTGCTTTGCACCCGGCAGAGGCTAGCAGTGAATCTTTCCATTGTGCCTACTAAGTGCCAGACACCGTTCTCAGATCTTCACATATACTAACACACTTAGTCCTCACACCTCTTAAAATAGGAAGGAGGGCCAGGTGCGGTGGCTCATGCCTACAATCCCAACACTTTGGGAGGCCGAGGCAGGAAAATCACCTGAGGTCAGGAGTTCACGACCAGCCTGGCCAACATGGTGAAACTCCATTTCTACTAAACACAAAATTTAGCCAGGCATGGTGGCAGGCACCTGTGATTCCAGCTACTCAGGAGGCTGAGGCAGGAGAATCAGCTGAACCCAGGAGGTGGAGGTTGCGGTAAGCTGAGATCATCTACTGCACTCCAGCGTGGGCGACAGAGCAAGACTCCATCTCTAAATAAATAAATAAATAAATGGAGGATTATTTTTACAGGTAACAAAACTGAGGTGTAGAGAGATTAAGTGGCTTGCTCCAGGTCAAAGTGAGAAACCAGGATGTATATGCAGAGTATCTGACTCCAGAGTCCATGCTCTCAATCATGAGCAATATTACTTCCCATGGAAAGCTAAAAAGAAGTCTATTTGACATTGTCTGTGTGTGTGCGTGTGTGTGTATACATGCATGCATATTCATATGCCTACATATACATATAAGTATATACAAATATAACATTTTCCATTTGTCATCCATGGTTCTAGATGCTGGGGGTACAGAGAACTGTTCTTGCATTGAAACACGTAGACTGTATAAGGAGGGAGAGATATGAAAAGAGACTATTTCATTACACCAAATGAAAATCCAAGTGGGTGTGTATTGCAGCGGAGATAGATGAAATGAGGCGCCTTGGTTCTGTTTCTTGAGCTGCAACATAGATACCTGGGCATGTTCACTTTCTAAACATTTATGAAGCTGTATACTTGTGATTTGTATACTTTTCTCTCCATGTGTTATACTTCAATAAAATTGACATTTAAAACATTTACAAGGAAGCAAAGTGCCTTGTGAACTCAGAGGATGTAGCGAAGAATTGCTTTTGACTTACCTCAGTGACCAATCACCTTCTGTCCTGGCCTGTGTCCGACTGACCACTGACTCTGTTCTCCAGGGGCCAAGCGTATCATCTGATGATGTTGACTGCCCTCACGTGGCTCCAAAAATTCTTTTTTTTTTTTCTTTTTGGAGACAGAGTTTTGCTCTTGTTGCCCAGGTTGGAGAGCAGTGGCATGATCTCGGCTCACTGCAACCTCCACCTCCCAGGTTCAAGTGATTCTGCTGCCTCAGCCTCCCGAGTAGCTGGAATTACAGGCATTCTCCACCATGCCTGGCTAATTTTTTGCATTTTCAGTAGAGACGGAGTTTCACCATGTTGGCCAGGCTTGTCTCGAACACCTGACCTCAGGTGATCCACCTGCCTGGGCCTCCCAAAGTTCTGGGATTACAGGCATGAATCACTGCACTGGTCAAACATTTTTTTCTTTACCCATGTAACAAAGCTGCACATGTCACCCCCTGCTGAACCTAAAATAAAAGTCGATGAAGAAAACAAAGAAATAAAAATAAAAACTTATCCAGATAGTTTTAAAAATTTTCTTCCTTAGCATCCTCAGCCATAGTGTTCACATGTAAGTGTTTTTCACAAGAAAGAATTCAGTGAAGCCACTCTCCAGTGTATTTTCTTCCCTGTAGGATGAGGCTTTGACTTGATATCGTGACAGTCACACAGGACCTACCTACATGAATACATAGGGATGAAAAACCATATAAAAGAATCTGCACGCTGCAAACGTCAGAGGCTTATGGGTACAAACTCTCCTGCTCTAGGTGAGCAAATGGCCCAGGGAACCCAGCATACATTCTCTGCGTTGGGCTTATCCAGCAAGAATCCATTGTGTATTTCTTCATATATGCTTGGTGCAATGAAACACAAAATTCTACAGAACAAACGTTTGTCAGGCAGGTGCCCACCTTGAGCCCCAAACACGAAGTTAGCTGGATTTTTTAACGTTTATTCTATGAGAGTATAAGTGTTACAGTTCAGCATAAACAGATTGTTTTTTTGTTGTTTTTTTTCCCCATTTATTTATTTTATTGCATTTTAGGTTTTGGGGTACATGTGAAGAACATGCAAAATTGTTGCATAGGAACACACGTGGCAGTGTGATTTGCTGCCTTCCTCCCCATCACCTACATCTGGCATTTCTCCCCTTGCTATCTCTCCCCAGCTTCCCACCCCCCACCGTCCCTCCCCTATTTCCCCCCAACTGACCCCAGTGTGTAGTGCTCCCCTCCCTGTGTCCATGTGTTCTCATTGTTCAACACCCGCCTATGAGTGAGAACATGCGGTGTTTGATCTTCTGCTCTTCTGTCAGTTTGCTGAGAATGATGGTAGCAAAGACCTGGAACAGATTGTTTTTATTGGATTTTTTTTCCAGAAATGGTATATTTACAAAACACATGAATATAATTTTTGAAATGGATCTGAGCAAGGACATACGGAAGATTGTTAGAGTTTGCAGTCCCTTTCTTTCTTTTCTTTTCTTTCTTTCTTTCTTTTTTTTTTTTTTTTTTTTGAGATAGAGTCTCGCTCTGTTGCCCAGGCTGGAGTGCAATGGCGTGATCTCGGCTCACTGCAACTGCTGCCTCCCAGGTTCAAGCAATTCTTCTGCCTCAGCCTTCCAAGTAGCTAGGATTACAGACATGCACCACCATGCCCAGCTATATTTGGTATTTTTAAGTAGAGACAGGGGGTTTCTATGTTGGCTAGGCTGGTCTAGAACTCCTGACCTCAAGTGATTTACCCACTTCGGCCCCACAAAGTGCTGGGATTACAAGCGTGAGCCACCACACCCAGCCCCCTTTCTTTTGTTCAAAAATATAATTATGTGTTGTACAACCTGTGGCCTGAATAGCATGGTGGCTAGAAATGGGATGAATTGATACAGTATTGCAGCTGACCACATCTGCAGCCCACCACCTCCTCCAACACCTGCATGTTTGGTAATGATTATTTTTAGAAGCCAAAGTGGCTGGCGATCTAATTTAAACAGGGCAATTCAAACATTTGTTCCACTTAGCCAAGATAAGACGTCATTCCATTTGACTGTGTTTTCACTTCTATCATTTGGCTGTCCTTCCAAACAGATTTTACTATAAGTAGAAACACAAAATGTCCAAGAAAAAATTTTTTTTAAAATAACAGGAAACATTTTGAAATTTCTGTCTTCTTGATTCAAATGAAAAAGAAAGTATGGGATAGCCACACACACTTTACTGTGTGTGTCAATTAGGAGAAAACATTTTCTGGAGTTTTCCATCAACAAACCCATGTGGACAACACATTTTGCATCCCTTGTAGTTAAGAAGACTTGCTTTCCCCTTTCTTCAACTTCTCTTCCCCTTAGTACTGGCATGCTCCCTCTTTCTTCAGAATCCTTATCAAATTCACTGTCAGGAAAGCTTAATAATCTCTCTTTTATACTAGAGTGTCAGTGGTTGATATCTTCAGTAAGCCTTATCTCACTTCAAGCTACTGGCATTTTAACATGAATCAAAGGCTGAAGCCAAAGGTGTTTAGTAAAAGGTGAGAGGTGGAGGGGTGGGGATGAAAGCTTTTCCTGGACGACAGTCTTCTGAAGTCCAATCAGAGGCAGGGTGTACATTGTGAGCACTCGTGCCTGGCTTGTTTGCCTGTGCAGATGTGGCAGCCATGGACACTGGCTAGCATATGGACACCTTGCCTGTGGCACCTAGTGGCAGGTGCCCAGAAACATTCCTGAAGGCATGGCCAGCAAGGTGAGGAGCAGCCCCTGTTTTCCAAATGCTCTCTGAAGCCTCAGGTTCTGAGAAGCTGTGTTGAGAGGGCTGACTGCCGTTCTGTGCCCACTGCTGCTCGGTGAATTCCAGGGGAGCTGCAGTGAACCTGCTCATGGCTGTGACCGACACAGCCAGGCAGAGGGCAAAAGAACCCCAGGCAAGGCTGTCAACAGAAGGCACCGTTAGAAAAGGGCTGAGGGCTGTGACTCCAGAACTTCCTGCTGGGGGTCAATCTGGCGAAAAAACAGCTCCTGGTTCTACCCAATTTGGACCTGCCTTTTGGATCAGTAATCTCAGAGTCTAATCAATGTATTGTTTAGCCCAAGGGTTAAGAGAATGGATTCTGGAGTCATCGTGCTGGCTTTACACCATGACCCCACCTCGTACTAACCATGTGAACTTGAGTTGGTTGCTTTAGCTCTTTGAATCAGTTTCCTTATCTGCAAAACTGGAATAATATCAATGCTGCCATACAGCATGGCTGTGAGGAATTCAATGAGAGAATGTGTGAGAAATATTAATAGTATAGTACCTGCTGCATATAAGTTTACTGATTGTTGCTGTTGTTGGCTCTAACCCAGGACAGTGGCATTGGTATCATTATTAGTATTATTATTTTTTTTGAGTCTCGCTCTGTTGCCCAAGCTGGAGTGCAATGCCGTGATCTTGGCTCATTGCAACCTCTGCCTCCCAGTTCAAGTGATTCTCCTGCCTCAGCCTCCTGAGTAGCCAGGATTACAAGCACGAGCCACCACGCCTGCCTAATTTTTGTATTTTTAGTAGAGATGGGGTTTTACCATGTTGACCAGGGTGGTCTTCAACTCCCAACCTCAAGTGATCCACCTGCCTCAGCCTCCCAAAGCACTGGGATCACAGGTGTGAGCCACTGCACCTGGCCAGCATCATTATTCTTATATCCCCATCCAGACCGTAAGCTTGCTGCATACTGAGATGATGGTCTACACATTTCATGCTTCACAGAATCCAACACTGTGTTGGGAACATGGTAATTAGCATCTACTTTATACCAAAGGGTGTTCAAATGTTTGCATTATTGCGAGATAAAGAGAAGGGCTGTGTGGTGGACAAAGAACAACCTAGAGAAGAAAACAAGATGGTGTTTCCCTGGGACACATGGTTGTCCCTTTCCTCAGCCTCCTTCTTACCGCAAACTCTCTCCCCAACCTCCCTTTTCCCCAGGAGAGCAAGGTTTTATTCTCTGGAGTAGGTGAACAGGAGGAAAGGCTCCGGATTCAGAGATAGCAGGCCCAATGGAAGGCAGGAAGGGGGCTGGTCTGAAAATGGGATTGTACGGAAATCTGCACAGGAGTGGGAAGCTGTCCAGCCCTTTCCTATGCCTAACCTCAGAAATGATCAGCCATGCATACAAACTCACCTTACTTCCTGCAGATATTGGATGATTCCCTTCTGAAGACACTGACAGGCTGCAGAAAGAACCTCTACGACATGATATGTGTGTGTGTGTTTTGTGGAGCAGGATTCCAAGATAAAACAGATGGTGCCACACCCAATCACATGCCCAACAACAACAAAAGAGCCTATGGGTAGGTGAGTGCCAACCCTGCTCCAGAGCTTCTGATTATCCTTGACAATCAAGGAGGCCAACATTTGGGGGAAGGGTCCAACAACAAAGTGGGGAGGGGAAGGAATTATAAAGGAAAGAGATAACACAAGAAACAAAAGAAAACAGCAACAAAAAACAAACCCTTTCATTAATATCCTCGGAGGAATATAGGAAGAGAAGATGCTGTGTTCAATAAAGCAAGATGAGGATATTATAAAAAACGAACAGCTAGCAAACAAGGAAGAGCTCGGGAAACTAAAACAAGTCCAAAAGAAGAATTCAGTCAAATGGCCAGAAGACAAGTGGAAAAAATTTTTCAGAAAATATAACAAAAAGATAAACAAAATATAAAGGAAGTAATAAGATCCTTGGATAATAAACCCAAGAGACCTAATATCTAACTAACAAGAGTTTTCTAAAAGGAGAACAAAAAAACTGAGGAAAGGAAATAATCAAAGAAATAATACCAAAATTACCATAATTCCAGACCATGAATATTCAGGTTAAAGGGTCCCCCCAAGCACATGAATAAAGGATGAATGTGGAGAAAAGAGGATCCTTGCCGAAGGACGTCATCATGACATTTCAGAACATTGGTCATAAAGAGAAGAAAACAACAGGCCACCTACAAAGGCATATGATTCAGAATGGTGTTGGACTCTTGACAGAAACTATGAATGCTAGAAGAAAATGGAGTAGTGCTGTCAAAATTCTATGGGAAGATGATTTCCAACAGAGAATTCTGCACTGTGCCAAATGATCAATCAAGTATAGAATCTTGAATAAATACATTTCCAGACACACAAGAAGTAAAAAAACTTCTCTCTCATTGGATCCTTTCTTAGGAAGCTACTGGAGGATGTACTCCCAGAAGAGATAGATGTAAACTAAATAAGACAATGCAATGGGACCTAAGAAACAGCATTCCAAAATAAGGGAGTAGCGCAGGGAAGTCTCATGATGACAGCAGACAGCAAACAGCCTGGAATAGAGCAGGAAAACTGAGGGCTTTGGGGGGTTGGAAGGAAGCTGAAAAGCTAATCTGATTAGGTCCACCAAACTTAACTTGCCTTTAGTCGCTAGCTTTTTTCCCTCCCCATATAGCTAAAAGCCACACCACTGAACTCGATAACTTAACCTTCACTGGCTTCCTTATAGATAACATTTCTGATGTATACGTCACCATGGTGATGGTTGCTTGTTTTTCAGGAACTTGGGGACAGCTCCTATCCAGTTCAAACTGGTTGAGACCACTGATCCTTCAGCTGATCCTGTGCAAGTGCCTGAGAAGTGGCCTTCTGATGTCAGAAGGCCAAAAACTCTACCCTCAGAACATGCTAATGCTACCATTTTCTGAACATGCAACCCGTGAAGAGTCAAGAACCCTGACTATGCCTGTTTAGGTCACCAATTACTTCATTTTCCCCACTGCCAATCACCTTTCCTCTTGCCTTAGACCACCCTGCTTCTCCAATCCGTAAATATCCCCAAGCCTTATCTTCAGGGAGGCAGATTTGAGAGCTGTTCTCCCACCTCTTTATCGGGCTGCCCTGTGAATAAATCCTTTGTAAGACCCATCATCACAATAACTGTTTACTAATCACAGACAGAATGAACTTGGTGGGTATCAATCAGAAGGGTGGCACAGGGAGAGGATGGAATTGACAGATAGTTACTCTTAGTACTATTTGATTTTTAACAACCATTTGCCTACACGTCTTTGGCTAAAAATTACGTAATTGAAAGTAATAGAAAACAAAAACAAAACAAAATGATATTGGAAATAAGCAGACCATGCTTCAGGCTCCTTTAGTACCTAGAGTTTGCTTCTATCCATAGAAAAAGGAGTGCAGTACAAATTGGCCACAGTTGAGAACCCACCTACAATTCATCTGAGCTCTGCGGCAGCCACACTCGCAACTGTGTAAGGTGTCAGTGATAGCCCGTCAGAACCAATAACGCTAATTCAGAAGGGGGCAGCTAAGTGTCAAACGGGTGGAGGGACAGGTGCCCAGAGAAACATTTGTAAAAATTAACATCTTCAGACTGGGAAGACGAAGACTAAGAAAAGTTCAGACGCTTAACAACTCACGAAGCATATGGCTCACAGTAGCACACGCGTGTTCACCGAATCCTAGAATAGCAGGATGAGGCAGTGAGCCCTGAAAGCGTTATGTTTTGCCAGGAGGAAAGTAACATAAGAGGTTGTTATATAAGATGAAAATGTAAGTATATGCACATCTATTTTTAAGATACGATATGCTTCAGAGGTCCACATCAAAGAGAACCCCTGTGATCTTGCATAATGTGGTCGAGTCAGTTAGAGACAGGATTTCTATGTCATGACCTTATCTTTGCATTAGAAACAGGGGCTGGGTCTCCCCCTGTTGAAGTATTTATTAGGAGTTATAGATCAAGACACTTCCTCCTACACTGTGTTTAAGAATTGAACATCAACCGTGTCTCAATTTCTTGGGAACTTTACCATGTGCCAAGAGTTTTATAAACATAATCTCTTTAAATCCTTATACAAACATTTGAGACAGGTAGCCTCACTTTGTAGATAAGGAAGTTGGGCCACAGATGGGTCATAGAATTAACCCCAAGTCACAATCCTGGCAGATGCCAGCTCTATGACCAAGGTTGGTCATTCTACAAAACTTATGTGCATCTCTTCTGGTCCTCCAGTGCTTGAGTGCCATGACCAAGCAACTTACCAATATGACCAGCCATAGTCCCAGGTCTGAGGCTTCCAGTCTTCTGGTCCAAGGTTCACAGTGATTTGAAAAATGGTTGTGTACATCATGTGGGCCACCATGCCTAGGAGCCCTGCACAAGGAAAGCTCTGTGAGCCACAGTTAAGAAGACACATGATGGAAGAACTCCTCTATGTTGCATGAGTTGGCTGTAGGGAGCTCTCTAGCAATCATAAAGCCCTTTTGATATATCTGCAAGTATTCATCCGTAAACATTCTGCTGGACGTCTCATTCCCACAATTGAAACTGAAGAGACATCCAGAAAGACACAATTGGGGAGGACCTGTCAGAACCTGGGCAGGAGTCTCCATAACCTGGTTCCTTCCTAAGAAGATCAGAAATTGGATTTTATCATCCCATTCACTGAGGATAAGACTCGAGGGAGCTAGGCATGGTGGCATGTACCTATAATCCCAGGTGCTCGGAAAGCTGAGGAGAGAGGATTCCGGGGAACACATCTCAAAATAAATGAGTAAAATGAAATAATTAAAAGGGACAATGAAAAAAAAAAAAAAAAAGGACTTAAGGGCCGGGCGCAGTGGCTCACGCCTGTAATCCTAGCACTTTGGGAGGCCGAGGTGGGTGGATCACCTGAGGTCAGGAGTTCAAGACCAGCCTGACCATCACGGTGAAACCCCATCTTTAAAAAAAAAAAAGGACTTAGGAAAGATGCATTACACTTATCAAGCACAAAAGTGATCTACAAATTGGGCTGTTACATGACTAACTTAACATGACTAACTTTTTGTATCCAGTTTGAGAACTAAAGGAAGTCATTTGTTCAGGGTTCTCTCTCCCTAGAAAGGCCCACTTAGGAGACCCAATCAAGTGGCTTTAAAAGTTGCCTGGAGAACATAGAAGTAGAACTAAAAAAGGAGTTCTTTATTTTTGTGGAACATTTATACCAAATGTGGATACTTTTTCAAAAACTACCATTTATTGAGTACTTCTTCTATACTAGGTGCAGTCTTATTTAGTCATCACTGAAGTGTTTTGAGATGTCTTATAGTGTTCTTTCTCAGAGAAGTTAAGTAACTTGCCTGGAGTCATACAACCATTAAGGAGACATCTGCACCTGTGCGGAATCCCTCCAGAGACTCATGCCTAAGCACTGTTTTCAGTGAAGCATGTCAGCTGTCAGAGCCAGGGCACCCTCTTCCCTGGTTGTGATAAAGACACACTGATAAATTTCACTTTCCATCTGTGCCTAGCCCATTTTCATCTGTCACCTTAAGAATACTGTATCCATCCAATGGGATTAATTGGTGTCTTATCCAGTGGACCACCTGCCCTGCTCAAATGGCCATTGACGGGAAAGAGCCAGCCTGTTCTTTTAGCAATGAGCATGTCCAGGCTGAAGCTCTGCTTTCCCTCTGGGGCAGCCTGTTCCAAGGACGCCATTGGAAAGTACCTGCCAGCACCATGAAGATGGCTACCAAGGCATCCACCCTGAGCCAGTTGAAACCAAGGCTGCGACAACTCACTCTGGAGCCCAGGAGGATAGCGCTTGCCAGTATCAGAACAATATCCAGGACCTCACCCCCGATGGACAGCCACAAAACACCTGCAGAAGAAAGGGATGTTGGAAATGCTGAACATTTCTAACTCAGAAGCACTAAAAATGGTCAGTCCTTTGATTTAGTTCACTTCTAAACAAAACATGAAAAACAGACACGTTGGAGTGAAAATCACAGATGCCTCTGCTGAATCTTAGAAAGCTGGCAATGGAAAGGTATTCCTTAGGGCTGAAAGAGACGTTTCTAAGGATTGCCCATAGCATGTGTGTGTGTGTGGGGGGGGAACTAAGAAAACCCCTGCTGTGAGGACGAGAGTGATGCTCACAGCAGCGGGTCTCCATGCCGCAGCTCAAAAACTATGATGATGTTTTAATTTTACCAGAAGATATCAACTTTGCCTTTTGAAAGAAAACGATACACAAACTTAAACATGGGGGTGAGGCTCTGCAAGTTGAAGAGCCCTGTCTGTAGTTACCAAAACCTTGTTTGTTTCTGTGGGAGCCACCTGTTTACCTCCTGGTGAGGATCCCACCTGTGGTGTCAAGGAACTCGGTTGGCAGTGGAAGGCAACAATGGTGCCCCTCTGTGTGGAAGCATGGAGAAAGGACAGAAAGGGAAAGTGATCTTTGTGAAAGGACTACTCTAAGGTGAGTTAGGTGCTGGAGACACAGCAATGAATAGATGTGATCCATGCCTTCACAAGACCCCTACTCCAGCTAGGAGAACAGACACTAAGAGAGGAATTGCAAAGATGCCGAGTGTTAGGGAGCTTTAGAAAGAAGAAAAACTGCTCCAGGCAGTGGTGTGCATGTCTCACAGCTCTGCGTTCATCTTGCAGCTGAAATTGGCTATGTTGGGAATATTTACACCACGGAACACGACCAATGCTGCCAATCATCAGGGCTTCCCACCCAACCTACGAAGTTGGCTGTTAAACATTTGCCAGCACACCACTGGCTATAGGGCACAGGAAGAGAGCCTGTGGTCCTAGCTTTTGGACTTGACTTCATGGGAAATCATCAATGACTCCCTCACTATTTACCCTATTCCTAATACAACAGTAAAAACAGTCCCAAGCTATGAGAAACGCTTGTGGGCAGAGGGTGAGTAAGGTATTTACCTTGTTCTTCAGCGGGCACTACACTCTGGAAACTCCGACACTTTTCATCTGAAAGATACAGAGAATGGATCCAGAAGTTAGGATTACACTTCACAATCAGGGGACAGATGGTGTATTTCCAGCCCCTTAACTTAATGAGAAACAGGGACTGTGCAGACTGCTTTCCTGCTCAGGGACATATGGTGCCCCTCTGTGTGGAAGCATGATAGAATCCGCCCTATTGAACTCTGGCTTGGCCATGCAACTCTCCTTGACCAATGAACTGAGAGCAAAAATGAGATGGATCTGAGCAGATTTAAGAGCCAATGACTTTTCCCCTTGTTCCTGTTCCCTTGTTGTGATCCCAGAAGCCCATGTCAAGAGGGAGTCTCCATTCAGCCTGGGTGCCCGAATAGCTACAATGAGGACAGACCCCTTGCCAACCTGAGAAGTCTATACAGAATGAGCTAAAAATAAATGTTTCGTTTCAACCACTGAAATTTGGGAGGTTGTTTGTTATTGCAGCCTAACCTAGCCCATCTGGACTAATACTGCAAGTCTTAGGCCAGGGATTCTCAGTTTTGGAAACAGTATTCATTATGATATGAATCTGAAATAACTGGTTTCTCGTTTAAGGGAAATGATCAAAGTTTGCAATTTATTTTTAAATGAATGAGAGCAGATTCAGAACCATGTCTGTTAGTAAGACTTTTAGCATGCGAGTCACACAGTTGCTTGCATTCCATCATGCTTTCTTGACTATGAAAGAAAGGGAGGAATTGTTGTGTGTGTACTAGGTATCGGGAAGAACCCACCACCAGACTCACTTATGTGCTCCAGGGGCACAGATCTGCTGTGTATACGAGTGTCATCTGTCGTGTTGCACACAGCAAGTGAAACATCTTGAGCCACAGCCTTAGATACGCAGTTCCCTTTAAAATGCCAAGCCCATAGATACCCACTTGATGTGAAGATGTAACCAAATTCTGGTTTGGGGGTGACCAATGGAGGATAGAGACCATGGCGAGTCACCCTCTGGGGTCCTGTCCCAGCTGAGTGTCCCACGCTCTCTATTAACACGTCAGCCCAAAATAGAATTAAGGACTGTTGAGTGGGAGCAGCCTGGGAAATCCTCTGGTTCATCCCTACACAGTTTAGGGGAGTGTGTTCAAGTGTTGAATTATTAATAAAGGCAAGTATAACGATTGTGATTTTATGGATTTGGAGACCACGCTCACACCAGTTAGTGATGTCAAGAATGAAAAACCTGGGTTTCTCACCTGAGACTCAGAGGCCTTTTCTGCATTGCTCCTTGTCTCTACCTAATGCACCGAGGAGTGAAGGTCTAACTTGTCTTCTGAAGAGAACTGCCTTTCCCACCAGGAATAGAGATGAGGCCAGCACAGAGCCAGGGCTGGGCAAAGAGAAGGTGAAGGCCAGCCAAGGAGATTAAGAGAATTCAGAGTAACTTAGATGGCTGAGTGTAGCTTGGGCCCAGAGTCAGACACTGGTGACCCTTTTGATAAATACAAATTCTCAGAAGTGCTGTTCCTTTTGAATAAAGCCAGCAGGATTAAAGGAAGAAATCTTTATAAATCCCATGAAGCCAGGGAGGCGGGTGTTACATAGCTTGGGTGTTTCAGCAGCCAAGCAGGACAGCAAGCCAGCCCTGGAAGTGGCATCCAATCCCCCCTGACTCTGGCACCCCCTGTCAGCTTGCTGTCCACCAACCCCCACTCCATCCCCATCCTTTATGGGGTGCCTGGGTCCCTCTGCCCTGAACTTTTTGAGTTTAGCAGAACAGCATAGATTCTAGACTCAGCACATTTTGTTGATTCACAGACTCACCTAAGGAAAAGAACATTTCATGTAAGTGCTGCCTTGACCAGGAATGTTCAGTGCAAATTTTCATTTCAGAGTGTGGGATCAAAGGTGTGGGTTCCCTTTAAAGACATTCTAGGCACTGGGGAGAAAGGATAGGGTTCTTGAAGGTGGCTTGGGCAGCGGACGTCTTAAAATAGCCCTCCAGGTAAGGGTTTCCTGGGAAGGTCAACTTTTAGGGACGTGGAGCCCTATCAGAAGGAAAACACACATGGAGGCCCCATGGGGCAGCAGAGCTGGGGCAGTCGGATGCCCAGAAGCTCCTTTTCTGGACTTGTTTAGGGCCTGGGCACATCTTCCCAAGACTGGAGCTCTCACTGCCCACTCTGCTTCCTTGTCCTCACCCCTCCTCCCCCTCTCTTCAAAGGACTGTTTGGGCTCCATCCCGTTTCCCTCCAGTATGAACCCTTTTCTTTCTTATGCCCCAAATCTCCTAAGTACTTGTGACAAATCGGACTAAATGGCAGATGCCTTGTGTGGTGCCATTTCCAACTGGGAGCCCCAGCCATGCTCTGCAGCAGACATAATCTTTTTGGCTTATGCCATGTTTTAAAGATATTTTAACATTGAGAAATTTGACAAAGAAATCCAAACATCTTACCTCCCTTGAAGAATCAGAGCCTCTGATAACACCATATCAGGCTTACAGGTGCACACAACCATGAAACTGATGTGAGCGAGAGGCTGCTCCTTTAGCTGAGGTACAAGGGTTCAAGGTCACCGGCATTCCCAGCTAGCCCAGCTCCACCCACTTTTGTTACGACCTCCTAGAAGCATTTGAGTTTGTAACTCCTTGATGTATAGCTTTCATTTTGTCCTCTAGCATGTTTTGTATTAATTAATTTATGATTGAGTAAAAATAATTATTAGTTAATTCTAAACTATTTTGCTTTAGGGGTATCCGGCAACACAGCGGGGTGGGGGGAGGTGATTGGGGGGAGATGTCCTTCTTTCTTCCTTCTTTTTTGTTTTTTTTTAACACTCTCCAAGAAATTTATTTTAGCATATGTCTATATAGATATAATAATTTTATATAAAGAGAGATCATAACAGAACTAACAGGTTCCTTTACAAGGAAATAAAGGAAAGGCAATAAAGGATTTCTTCCATATAAAGATTCTGATCTGCATTATTTGATTTTTTTTTTTCAGAATACAAAACAGTAATATTAGAAGCAAAGCAAAAACAGCAAAGAAGAAAACAATAAAACAGAAGACCATGGATAAGGAATTATTTTATGCAGATGCACTGCATACCAAGTATATATGTATGGGCTGAGTTATAATAAAAATATTATTATAGTCATTCTCATATAGAGTTAGAAACAGCAATTTCCAATCAAGCACAACTGGACCCAACATTTTCTCAGTGTTCAATTACACGTTAAATTACAGCTATGCAGCAGTCACTTCTGGTCAGCAGTATCATGATAAATGCTTGACAAGATATAATTTTTCTCCTTGTTCACTTGTAAAAATTGGTGCCTTTTTGTAATGTTCTACAAGTTCTTCCATGGTGCTGAATTTGCGCTGCCCAAAGCAGTAGACAGTTTCTTTTAGTTGGACTTTAAAATGCTTGTTTTACCCTTGTGCTTTTAGTGATACTGAGAAATCATTTGGCGAAGATTCACTATCAGGAATGAGGAAATCCCCTTCATGTCCTCTTTCATTTAATGCCATTTCTGCTTGATGCCTGGTGACTTTGCCATAATACCAAGGATTGCCAGCAAACTTTCCAGTGAGTGAAGGCCTAATGTAATCACACTGTGGAGGTGATGGTTCCAAACCTGAGGTTAATGGATTATTCTGCATAATGGTAACATAGTTTTTTGGTACTAGACCAACCATACCATTGATGTTTCTGCATTTCCACCACTCTGGGTCATTTTCGGGTTTTTCAGTAACATCCATTATATCTCCTTTCTCAAAATTAAGCTCTTCATCATTAGATGAGCTGAATGGGTAAAGAGCCTGTACCACATGCAACACTTGCCCAGTATTTAGGTTATTGACGACTGCTGCTAATTTCTCTGACAGAGAACCCACATGGTCACCCAAAGGACTGTCACTTTCTTCAGTTACATAGTTTGAAGGGAACCATCCAACTTGTCCATTGTAGCTACCACGCCACCACCCATCACTGCATTTCTCCATGACGATCACCTTTGTCCCCTTTATCAATGATAATTCATCCTCTCTCTCAGCCATGTAGTTAAATTTCACATAAGCGGGCATGTTGAGGTCATAGAGACGTTCCCCTGGGTCAACAAAACTATCAGCAGCAGGAGATGCAGAATCTGGCACACTAGGTTTTCTTTTCACTTTTCCAATGCCTAGGGTATCTTTTAGGTTTTTTACAATAGATGCTTTCCGAGCACTGTTTTTCCTTTCCACATAGTTAGAAGGCACAAAACCTGTTTTATTCATGGAATTTCGAACTCGCCACCAGGACTTAGAATCATCCAGAAGCCATAATCTCTCATTCTTCTTGATGTCCAATTCTTGTTCTTGTTGAGCCACATAATCAAATTTGGCTACTACCACCACTTCTTCTGCCATCTTTCAGCAGCTTCGGCACTGAGGAAGGCACCGGGACGCCGCCGCGGCCGCCGTGATGGCCGTAATGGCGCGAAGCCTGCGCTCCACCGCCGCCTCTTTCTTCCTTCTTAATAAAGTGATGACAACATTTAGACACCCAGGTGGACCTCGATGACCTTATTATATTAAGAAATATGTAAAATGTGAACTGAGGTGTTTTGTTTGTTTATTCATTTGTTTCCCTTCAGCTTTTAAATTCCGGGATACATATGCAGGATGTGCAGGTTTGTTACATAGGTAAACGTGTGCCTTGGTGATTAAGCAGAGGTTTTTTTTTTTCCTTTTTGAGATGGAGTCTCACTCTTTCGCCAGGCTGGAGTGCAGTGGTGCAATCTCTGCTCACTGCTACCTCCGCCTCCTGGGTTCAAGTGATTCTCCTGCCGCAGCCTCCCCACTAGTCAGGACTACAGGCACCTGCCACCACTCTCAGCTAATTTTTGTATTTTTAGTAGAGATGGGGTTTCACCACATTGGCCGGGATGGTCTCGATCTCTTGACCTTGTGATCTGCCCACGTCGGCCTCCGAAAGTGCTGGGATTACAGATGTGAGCCACTGCGCCCAGCTTGATTTTTTTTTTTAATTGATGGGCACAAAATTATTTATGGACAATTATAACAGTTGTTGCCTTTCAGTTAAGGTGTGTGCGTTGTGGGATAACAGGCAAAGTCAGGGCTCAGCATTATGCAGTTTGAGTTCCATGCCCAGCTCCATTAGTTCCTACCTGTGCACTCTTCCACAGGTCACTTACATCTCTAGAATTCAGTCTTCTCATCTGTCAAATGGCTCTATTATTCTAGGCCAGGCTTTCCCAAAGTGTGTTCCACCGACTAACCAGTCTTATAGAGTATGAAGACTGGCTACTGACGACGTAGCTCCCTCCCATCGGTCTAATTTTCTAACTCTTGTCTTCAAGTTCAGATTCTACTCTGGCCCTCCTTCCTCCTGGCATTATGACTAGCAAGCTTCCAGTTCTCTCCAATGAGGCATTTTCTTTTCTTTCTCTCTTTCATTCTTTTCTTTTTTCTTTTTTTTTGAGACAGAGTCTTGCTCTGTTGCCCAGGCTGGATTGCAGGGGCATGATCTCGGCTCACTGTAACCTCCGCCTCCTGGGTTCAAGGAATTCTCCTGCCCCAGCCTCCTGAGTAGCTGGGGTTATAGGCGCCTGCCACCACACCTGACGAAGTTTTGTATTTTTAGTAGAGACGGGGTTTCACTATGTTAGCCAGGCTGTTCTCAAACTCCTGACCTCAAGTAATCTGCCCGCCTTGGCCTCCCAAAGTGCTGAGATTACAGGTGTGAGCCACCGTGGCCAGCCCAGTGAGGCCTTTTCTATTTAGGAAATGCCCTGCTCAGTTCCTCCTGCTCGGGTGACTGAGACCTTATGTTGCAGGGAAGTAGAAGCTGCCTCAGGTGACATGGAAGAGCCATGTGAGCTAAGTTCTTCTGTAAGAATTTAAGGATTCCCCCATTTCCCTGCCTTGTATTCTGGTGCAAATAGCTGGGTTATGCTGCCTCAGACATTGGCTCACTCAGTTCTGCCTGCATGGAACATTCTCATCCCCAACCTTCGTCTATTAAAATCATAGCCTTGGGCACAGGGAAGGGAACAACACTCACTGGTAGGTGGGGGGTGGGACGGTGGAGGGGAAGGGAGGAGAGGGACAGTGAGGGTCGGGAAGATGGGGAGGGATAACACTGGGAGAAATGCCTGATGTAGGCAATCGGGGGTGGTGTGGGGGATGGAGACAGCAAGCCATCATGGCATGTATGTATCTATGCAACAATCCTGCGGGATGCAGGATGCAGGATGTGCACATGTACCCCAGAGCCCAAGGTACAAAAAAAAAAAAAAAATCATAGCCTTATGGGCCTGGCACAGTGGCTACCTCCTTTACGAGGTCTTCCCTGTGCCCAGAGCTATAAATAACCTCTCCTTCTGTGTTACTCAGTTCTTGCATTGCTATAAATGAATACCTGAGGCTGGGTAGCTTATAAAGAAAAGATTTTTAACTGGCTCACGGTTCTGCAGGCTGTTCAGGAAGCATAGTGCCGGCATCTGCTTGGCTTCTGGTGAGGCCTGGGGAAGCTTCCAGTCACGGCAGAAGGCAAAGGGAGAGTCAGCCAATCACACAGTGAGAGTGGGAGCAAGAGGGAGAAGGGGAAGGTGGCACACACTTTTCATACAACAAGATCCCATGAGAAATGATTCACTATTTCGAGGACAGCACCAAAAGGACAGGGCTAAACTATTCATAGCAAATCCACCTCCATGATCAAATCACTTCCCACCAGGCTCCACCTCTAACATCGGGGATTACTTTTTTTTTTTTTTGAAACGGAGTCTCTCTCTGTCACCCAGAATGGAACACAATGGTGCTAACTCGGCTCACTGCAACCTCCACCTCCTGGGTTCAAGCGATTCTCCTGCCTCAGCCTCCCAAGTAGCTGGGACTACAAGTGCACACCACCACACCCAGCTAATTTTTGTACTTTTTGTAAAGATGGGGTTTCACCATGTTGGCCAGGCTGGTCTCAATCTCTTGACCTTGTGAACTGCCTGCCTTGGCCTCCTAAAGTGCTGGGATTACAGGCGTGAGCCACTGCGCCCTGCCGGGGATTACATTTTCTCCAAACTCTGTCACCCCTTTTCTGTTTCCATACCATAGGTGCGTCCTTGTTATAACCATTATCATATTTTTCCCTGTTGGTTTGTACCTTAGGTCACTCTCTCCCACTGGATCCTTGCCCTCAGCACTGGGGCTCACTCACGTGGAAGCAAATACCAGAAGAGACAAGTAAGTTAAATGTGATTTCCACTGAAGGGTAAGACTAAGTAATGGAAAAGGAAAGGGCAAGAGACTGTTGATTTTTCTTAGAAGCTTTTCAAAACGAGTTAATCTCTTATCTATGAGTAAATATCACCTTGGTTAAAACTCTTTTTTTTTTTGAGATGGAGTTTTGCTCTTGCTGCCCAGGCTGGAGCACAGTGGTGCAATCTCGACTCACTGCAATCTCTGCCTCCCAGGCTCAAGTGATTCTCCTGCCTCAGCCTCCCAAGCAGCTAGGGTTAAAGGCAGGCACCACCAAGCCCAACTATTATTTTTGTATTTTTATTAGAGACAGGGTTTCACCACGTTGGCCATGCTGACCTCAAATTCCTGATCGGTGATCAGGTGATTTGCCTGCCTTGGCCTCCCAAAGTGTTGGGATTACAGGCATGAGCCACGGCACCTGGTCTGTATTCTTTTTTTTTTTTTTAAAGTTTTGACCGGGTGTGGTGGCTCACACCTGTAATCCCAACACTTTGGGAGGCTGAGGCAGGCAGATCGCCTGAGGTCAGAAGTTCGAGACCAGCCTGGCCAACATGGCGAAATTCTGTCTCCCCTAAAAACACAAAAATTAGTTGGGCATGGTGGCAGGCACCTGTAATCCCAGATACTCAGCAGGCTGAGGCAGGAGAATTGCTTGAACCCTGGAGATGGAGTTTGCCATGAGCTAAGATTGTGCCATTGCAATCCAGCCTGGGCAACAAAAGCAAAACTCTGTCTCAAAATAAATTAAATAAAATAAATAAAGAATACAGATGTCCAGGCTCCACCCTGGACCTCTTAAATTAGAACTTCCAGGACTAGTCACCTGGACTGTTTTTTTTACAAGCTCCTTGGGCAATACATTTGATAACTGGTGTGACATCTATATAGAGCTGTGGAAATAGAAGCACTACAGGCCGTCCTCCTATGAGACTTGGAAAGGAAGTGGAATTCCCCAAGCAATTTGCCTATAAGTATTGTGAATACAGTTTCCAAGCCAAAATTCTGGAACTCTCTTGGAAACCCTCCAGGATGCAGGGTCCTGAGAATTTTGCATCTGTCCATGAAGGTAGAGAAGAGGCTTATAGGAAGAAAGCACTCCCTGAGAAGAGAAGAGCTGGGGAGGTCCCTAAATAGCCCTAGCTCCAGGCACTTTTGCAGTGTCTGCACCACACTTAAAGCACAAGACACAGGCACTGGTCTGGATACATGCAAGGGTCAGTCTGGCTAGGCACTGCCCCACAGTGGCCACTACTGGGAGGGAGGGTGGTGGGAGGAACATACAGCATCTCAGAGTGTTCATTCTTTTTCTTTCTTTCTTTCTTTTTTTTTTTATTTAAGACAGGGTCTCAGGCTGGAGTGCAGTCACACAATCATGACTCTCTGCAACCTCAACCTCCCAGCCTCAAGTGATCCTCCCAGAGTAGCTGGGACCACAGGCACACGCCAGCACGCCTAGCTAATTTTTAAAACAAGTTTTCGTAAAGAGAGGTCTCACTATGTTACCCAGGCTGGTCTCTAACTCCTGGTCTCAAGCAATTCTCCTGTCTCAGCTTCCCAAAGTGCTAGGATTACAGGAATGAGCCACCATGCTGGGCCTCAGCGGGGTTCATTCTTGCTGCCTTTTACTTAGGACTCAGGAATAAAAAAACAAATGCTATGAGAATGGAAAAAGAAAAGGCAATTCAAAACTCCAGGAAAAGTAAAAAGCTGTACAGGAAATTTACTGTAGTGAGCTGAAGTCAGGAGAGAAATGGGAATGGGAGGAGGACTCCTCCTTTTTCTACCCTGGAGGTTTTGCTTCCTAAGCAGAAAGGGGAGAATACTCTGTCCCTGAGCATGGGCTTGGAGCCAGATGGACTAGTTTGAAAGGGTCAAATTCCTCCCAATTCAATTCTTTGAGACGTAAAAACACTTTTTTTTTTTTTTTTTTTTTTTTTTTTTTTTTTAAGATGCTCTCCAAGATCATTGTGACTGCAGGAGAAATAACAGGGCTGCCCGTTAGAGCTGGGTTAGGGCCACCTCTGATTCCCAAAGGATTTTAACTAACAGGGATCGGGTGACCAGAACAAACGAGAAAAGCTAATTTTAATAAACACTTGCAATGTGTCAGGCCCTGTGGCAAGCACTTTATGTGAGTCTGGTCATTTCATCTTTACAGTCACTCTCGGAGGTAAGTACTGCTATCATTCCCATTTTACAGATGAGAAAACTGAGGCTTAGAGAGGTGAAGGGACTTGCTCAAGGATACCTAGACAGTCAGTGGAGATGCAGGATTCAAACCCAGACAGCCTGGCTCAAGAGCCCCTGCCCCACCCCGCACCCGTCAACCCCAGAATCTACAGGCTGTGCTCACCTTCACTGTTGAGGCTCTCCTCGCAGGACTGCCAGAGCCCCACATGGAACCCACGCTGAATGAACTTGTCGTCCCCCAGCTCCCAAATGTACAGGACAGCCTGGCTGTCGTTGCCTATCCTGCCAGCACTGCTGTTGTCCTGTTTGAAGTGAATGCAGTGCTGTCCTCCCGGCTGGTCCCGGCACAGCGGCTTCACCACCCGCCGGGTCCCCTCACACCAGTGGCTGCTGACCACGGCAGTGAGGGAGAAGGCGAGGGCGAGGCAGATGGGGAAGAGGAGCAGCGACTGCTGCTGCCTGGCCCTGTCCATGGCCGAGTGGGCTGTGTGGGGCAGGATGAGCTGTGGGGTCCCCTCCTCCCGCCTCGTCACAGTACCTGCCATCTGGCATCCTCACACAGCCTCCTCTCAGGTCCCCCTGGGGAATTGCATGTGCTGCCCTACCACATCCAGCAAGGGTGCTGGCCCTGCCATTCTCCCTAGGAGGTAGGTGTGCAGGAGGGCATTGCTTTTTAATTGTGGTAAAACACACATAACGTGAAATGAACCATCTCAACCCTTTTTTTTTGAGACAGAGTTTCACTCTGTCAACAGGCTAGAGTGCAGCAGCACGGTCTTGACTCACTGCAACCTCCACCTCCCGGGTTCAAGCTATTCTCCTGCCTCAGCCTCCCAAGTAGCTGGGATGACAGGCACCTGCCACCATGCCTGGCTAATTTTTGTATTTTTAGTAGGGACGGGGCTTCACCATGTTGACTGGGCTAGCCTCGAACCCCTGACCTCAGGTGATCCACCCACCTTGGCCTCCCAGAGTGCTGGGAGTACAGGCACGAGCCACCACTCCTGGCCATCTCAACCATTTTTCAGTGCACAGTTCAGTGGCATAACTATGCTTATGGTGCTGTGCGACCATCACCACCATCCACCTGCGGAGCTCTTCATCTTGCATTCTCCACACCTGCCACACAATTCCCCATGACTTTCCCCCTACTCCTGGCAGCCTGCCTTCTTCTGTCTGTCTCTATGAATTTGCCTACTCTAGGTGCCTCCCGTAAGTGGACTGACACAGCATTTGTCCCTTTGTGACTGGCTTACTTCATTTAGCACAATGTCCTCAAGCTTCATGCATGTCGTAGTATGTGCCAGAATATCCTTCCTTTTTCAAGGCAGAAATTTTCCCTGACTTTATTGGATCGCATTTTGCTTATCTATTCAGACACCTGGGTTTCTTCCACTTTTTGACTGTTGTGGAGGGCGATGGTTTTGATGGAAGACCAGGGGCTGTTTGAGGGGGAGGGTTGTCTTGGTAAGACAGCCTCACCTTTGCCTTTTGCATGGGGCAGGGTCCTCAGTGTTAGATTCTGGAATCAGGGACTCTCGAGGACTTCATAGGCCTGATTCTCATCCAGTCCTATGTAGAGAAGGACTATGGAAAACAGATGCTTGTTCCAGGGACCCTGGGGGATTCTAGGTACAGGCAAGCTGCCACAGGGCCAGGGTGCTGTCCAGAATGGGAAGGGTGGTATGCATCCCATTTGGGTGCCAGGGGCCTCAGATGCTAGAATACAGAACCCTGGGCACCATCGCTCAGGTCCTCACTGAAGGGAGCACTGGCAGAGGCAGTGACACAGAAGAGTTGTTTTTTTTGTTCTTTTTTTTTTTTTTTTTTTTTTTTTTTTGAGATGGAGTCTCGTTCTGTTGCCCAGGCTGGAGTGCAATGGCACAATCTCAGCTCACTGCAACCTCTGCTCCTGGGTTGAAGCAATTCTCCTGCCTCAGCCTCCTGAGTAGCTGGTATTACCACCACACAGCAGGCTCACACCACCACACCCGGCTAATTTTTTTGTACTTTTAGTAGAGACGGGGTTTCACCATGTTGGCCAGACTGGTCTCGAACTCCTGTCCTCATGATCTGCCCGCCTCAGCCTCGCAAAGTGCTGGGATTACAGGTGTAAGCCACCATGCCTGGCTGATGCTGAAGATTTTAAAGGAGCCCCTCAAGCAGAGGATACTGATGAAGGAGTGAGGGCAGGAGAAATTTCCACAGAGCATCCTAAAAACACACAGGCTCCTGATGACGTGTTAGACACCTCCTGAATACCCCAGACAGAATCGGAATCTATGTGCCTGGGCTAGACAGTAATAGTGGGTTAATATCATTCCATCTGTACTTTGCCATTGGCCAAGTCTGAGCACCCATGTCCTGTGCACTCATTGGCCTGGTGGCTGCCCAGTCTCAAGGGAAGAGGCTTCACCACGTTTCATCGCTAGAGGGCACCCGCCCAATGGGTGGGGAAAAAGTGTGTGGCCCCAACCTTCATCCCTTCAGAAATAAAGGAAGTTTTTCAGAAAAAGTTGAAAGAGATGAGACAGACTATTCTTGCAAAGCAGATGTTTTCTTTAAAGACAGATCATCTTCCAGCATACAACTCTGAAGATGGTCTTTAATGAACTCACAAAACAGAGTTGCAGCCATATTAAAGGGCCAAAGCCCATCCCTTGGGCACTCCCTCTGGGTCACTCCATCCTGCTCTCTGCCGTCCCAAAGAGACGACCACATCGATTCCAGAGGTGACACCACTCTGAGTCCGTGTCTAGGATCTTTGTTCTAGTTGAGCATTTCATAGTTAAGGTCTAAAATCTTGCCACATGGAGGCCAGGATGGTCTCGATCTCCCGGCCTCATGATCTGCCTGCCTAGGGCTCCCACAGTGCTGGCATTACAGGCGTGAGCCACGTGCCTGGCCATGAGTTTTTAAAATTTACGTTTAGAAAAGCACAGCTGCTTTTCCCAACTGTTCAGAATTCACTCAGTTCAAAAGTTACCCAGGATGAGTTCCTATGCTTTGACTTGAAGGGGCAGAAACGAAACAAAACCAAAAAAAAATAAATAAATAAAAATAAAAAACGAAGTGAAAACATGTTCTTCTTGCCTCTCGCTGACCTGTTGTTCCATTCAATCAAGACATCTTCCACCTGAGCCTCCAGTTTTCGAGGCTGGGAGACATTGCAGGGGACACTGGGAGCTGGCCTGGGAGAGGTGGGGTGAGAAGTTTCAAGCAGAGCCTTTTGGAGAAACTCACCTGGAGAGGGCAGGGGCAGGACTGGGCACCTTCCCCGGAAGCTGTGCTCAGGCACCTCTGGTCAGAAGATCTGCCTATCCTGGCTCTGCTGTTTACTTGCTATGTGGCCTTGGGCAAGCCAGCCAACCTCTCTGAGCCTCAGTGTTTCTCAGCTATCAGATGGAGACTTCATTGTATCCTCACGGGGTTATTGTCAGGATGAAAGATTTTGTCAAGGCGAATTGTGGGGAGAGAGTACTCCAGTGCCGGTTAATAAGCGACCTATCATGAATTGTATAAAAGGGTCTGTCGGTGGGCTAAGCCACATGTGCTCAGAATGAGCGGGTATTCAAGACACGTGAATGCTGAACCTTTCAACACATTGTTTTGCTATTGCGTAGGCATAATCTAAGCCGCAGATTGGGTTTTTGCTTCACAGCCTGGGTTGGGAGCTGTTCTCTCCTAAGCTGAGCAACTGTCTCTCCTGTAATCTCTGCATAAACAGGACCCAGAGGAGATTCTGCCTTTGTGGTTAGTCTCAGTGCAGCTTGGACAAGCTTAATGCCTTAGAAAGAAATACCCCACCTCAAAAAGACACCTGCCTCTGAACTGGCTTGAGGCCCATTGCCTTCTGCCAGCCATTCCTCTGCAGCTCGAACCCAAGCCTGTCTCAGCCCAGCCTTGTTCATTGAGCAGAACCTTCAGGGAGGAGCCCGCTGACTGCCTTGTTCTTTCTCCTCGGCCTGTCGAGAAGTCCCAGAAAGCACAGCTGACTTAGGGAAGGTCTGGGAAAAATCTCCCCGCTTTTGGGGGGGCAGGGGCGGGGGATGAGCCAGGGCTGAGGAGGAACTCTGAAGACTCTGTAGATCGCTCTAGACCGCCTCAGACTCTCTCTGCACGGCGTGGAGAGGATTTGTGCAAACATTTCCTCTCTGGACCGAGAGGAATGCGAGAGGAGACGGCCTGCGGTGCATCTTGGACGGCTACGGAGATGTGCCCCCACTTGTGAAGGTGCATGAGGAAGATGAAGCTGGGATCGAGCAGGGCAGGGCCTGGGAGAGGAAGCGTGGGACTCCTGCCTGGCATCCCCGAGCTGCCCATGGGCATCCGTGCCCCCTGGGGGACCAGCCCTTTCCCCCTCTACACAAAGTGTATCTGGGCCCCTGGGAGGCCCATCCTTGCCCTGGTCCTGCTGGTTTCCATCAAGCAAGTAAGAGCAGTTCATTATTACTATCATTATCAGTTGTGCATATTTTCTGATTGTTTTAAAAGAAGCAATTGAGGCCTCATGTAAGCAATTTGGAAAAGAGAAAACAGTATTAATAATGAGCAACCATAATCCTAGCATTCAAAGGTAATCACTGTTCATATTTTGGCATATTGTCCTCAAATCTTTTCTCTATGCATATTTTTTTTACAACAATTGACATTAGGAAGCATAAAACATGTTGTATCCTGGCTTCCCCCACCCCGGCATCATATTATAAGCATTTTCCCGCATCAGCGTGAATTCTGCAAATAGCACTTACAATTGCTGTATATACTCTTCTGTTTTGTCTTCGGTGTTCTCCCAGGCTTGCATATTTAGGGTAAGCAAATCCATTTTCTTTTCTCCTTTTCCTTTCCTTCCTCTTCTTTTTCCTTTCCTTTCCTTCCCTTCCCTTTCCTTTCTATTTCCTTTCCTTCCCTTCCCTTCCCTTTCCCTTTTCCCTTTTCCCCTTTCCCCTTTCCCTTCCCTTCCCTTCCTTTCCTTTCTGTTCCATTCCTTTCTGTTCATTTTCCTTTTTCCTTTCCGTTACAAAAATAGAGAATTCTAATTTTTTTTTTAAGGCCTATACAATTCAAAGAAGTGAAATGCAAACTACAAATCACTCTGCTTCCACCAGGTAGAGATCACCCTCATTCACATTTGGGGGCTTATACTTTCAGACATTTTTCTACCATTGTTTACATACAGTTTTTTGTTTGTTTGTTTGTTTTTTGAGATGGAGCTTCACTCTGTTGTCCAGGCTGGAGTGCAGTGGTGCGATCTTGGCTCACTGCAACCTGCGCCTCCTAAGTTTAAGTGATTCTTCTGCTCAGCTCCCGAGTAGCTGAGATTACAGGCAAGCGCCACCACACCCGGCTAATTTTTGTATTTTAGCAGAGATGGCGTTTTTTGCCATGTTGGTCAGGCTGGTCTCGAACTCCTGACCATAAGTGATCCACCTACCTCAGCTTCCCAAAGTGCTGAGATTACAGGCATGAGCCA